ATTGACTGCTGTTTCACAGCATCATGGTGCAGATGCTAGTTTTGGGAAGGTTGCTGGATCACATGGGAATAAGATGGCTTGGTCTTGCAATGCCCATGGGACAGCTGGGGTCTTCCTTGCCTAGAGCATGTGGACAGCTGGGGTATTCCTACCTAGGGCATGGGCACAATCAAGGCCTAACTTACTAGGGCATGGTGTTGGTTGGAGACTTTCTTGCTGGGATGTGGGAAATGTTGGGGTCTTCCTTTCTGGGATGTGGGGAATCTGTTGATGTTTTTCTCCATGGAGAGGGATTCACTCACTGTGTGATCAGTTGGCCATCTTGAACTGGAAGCGTCTGTACTTTCTTTTTTAGAGTATGTTCTCCTAGTTTTTAAAGGCAGTATGGTAATTGCATCTATGTCACATTTTGCCTTTGGTAGTACTCAAATATTTCTTCAATCTAATGATCCATTCCAACATCACAGAACAAATGGAATTTACTTAGTCTTCTATTAATTATTCCAACACTCTCCAGCAACAAGATTCCTTTAGTGAAAAGGTGTCAGTTCTTGATTTAGTAAAAAAAAAAATCTTATGTGATTGCTAAGATCACATTCACGTTAACATATATATAGTATCTATGTTCATTTTATTATTTGTTCTCGCTAATCTTTTACTGTGCTTTTATATGGTGTGCCATAGCTATGTATACATAGGAAAAGACATAGTAGATATAATACGCATTTACATTCCACCAGTAACATTCACCGTGCCTCCCTACAACCTTATGAACAGAATGTTAAAAAATTCTAATCTCATAGGTGAGGCTTGATCTGTTTTAATTTGCAGTTTGATATTTTCTTCCATTTTCTTTCTATTGGGCTTTGGACTTTTGTCCATCAATTTTTAAGAATTGACCTGATGACTTTGTAAAGCAAAGTCAGACTGAATATAGTCACAAGCATTTTCCACGTCTTACTATAACTCCTCTCAGTAATATCTAGTATATACGAATGGAATATGAGATGCTCTCATATAGGGTTGGGTTTTATTTTAAACTCCAAAGCCCATCTACAATAGACAAAGAGAAAAAGATAGATTTGTTTGCCATTTTATCATAAATTCTTGTTCAGTTTGAAATGAGTTTATTATTTTAGCTCAAATCCAAAGCCACCAACCACAGAATGAGCTTAGAATGTTTCAAAGCTAGACACAAATAATTTTTTTTTAGCAATTGAGACATACTTTTGTGCCATTATTTCTCTTAACTGCAAACTTGTTAAAAAGCTTTAATAAAATATCCTTAAAAACAAATTTAATTCAGGTTCCTTATAGTGTTTGAGTAGTTAATTATATGCCCATCTTTTAAAAATGTGCTATTTGTCATAATTGAGTAAATGTTTTTATCAAGATAACTTTCCATTACCTCTTATCAAAATATTAAAAACATATTTTTTAACATTTAAGTTTCTGGCTACTAAACTTTATTCATAAAACAAATGCCATCAATTAAGACTCATAGCGACCCCACTAGGATAGCATCAAATTGCTCCCTATGGTTTCCAAGACTATCAGTCTTTATAGGAGCAGACAGCCCCATGGAGCAGTTGGTAGGTTTGAACTGCCAGCCTTGTGATTGACATCACCAGGGCTCTTTAAACATTACACACAGATACTACAAAAATTGACCATACTATTAGAGATTCAACTATAGGTGCCAATCTTACATATCTGATGGTTAAAATAAGAGTAGAAATAACAGACATTTTATTGGCAGTCACTTAATGTAAATAATTCATATGTTCCTTAAAAATTGTGGCTAGGCTATGATTTTGTGATTTGGTAGATAATTCCTTAATTTTTGTGCTAATGTGAGCAGCTAATCAATGGAAATGGAGTGTGGCCTGCATCTTAAATGGATGTTTTGGTGATACTTGCTCTCTTCTCAATCCTGCATGATCACCGTGTGACCTACAGTTCTTTGCCAACAGCCTGCTGTCTGGCCTGCAGATTGTGTGTTCTTCAGCTCCCGCAACTACGCAATTCAAGAGATGCCTCCAGCCGGATCCACAAATTTGTGATTTGCCATCCTCTGGAGAGCTTAGCCTAAGACAATGACCGGTAGATAAGATTTGCAGAGAAAACACTGCTGCACTGTTGAAGACAAAGGATGATTAAGGTTGCTGTGGTAGGAGAGGAGTCTTAGGGTTTGAGTGTTTTTTTTTTTTTTTTTTTTCCCTAACCCTAACCCTGAGCTTTTCTTAAGAGTATTAAAATTCACATGTTGAATTTTGTCTTGAATTTGACATAGGCACTTTAAGGAAAAGTAGTTTATAATAGAAATGCTAATTAAACTCTATGTTCTTTTCACCTTTCCCTGAGCCTTTCAAGCACTAGTTTAAAAAAATCATGTAGCATCAGGTCACTTCCCACAGGAGAAACATCAATGCTTTGACAAAGTACTGGCGTATCTACAGGGCAAATCTCTAAGGTTGGTCAGTAACTCGTTTTACACTTAAAAACTTCTTATGCCTTTTTACAGCTTAATTGATCAATTGTGCTGTTTGGACACATTGAACACTAATGACTGATGATCTGACAAGCTCTGGGATGACCTATCAAGAATATCATATATGAAACAAGCAAAAGATGTGTAAAAAGCAAAGAAGACCCAAAAAAAGGCAAGACCAAAGTGAATGTCTTGAGACACTAAAACTTGCTAAATGGTGTAAAAGAGGTAGACAGAAAAGGGCATCTAAAAACAAAACAAAGACAAAAACAAAAAACCACCTTGATTATAATACAATGTGCAAAAGCCTGGAGTTTGAAAGCCAAAATGGAGTAACCTCTCAGTGTATGTCAAGATGAAAGAACTGAAAAAAGTATATAATTCAGGCCCGGAGCTACAATACTGAAAAATGTGGGACAATACCAAACGATGCACGACACATGAAAGGATGATGGAATGCAGTTATTGTGCCAAAAAAGAACTGGTTGAGATTCAGCCATTTCATGAGGTAGTACATGATCAAGAGGTATGGAAGAAAATTCCAGCTGCACTGGACAAAGTAGCAATAAAGTGGCTCCTGGAATTGAGAGAACACCAATGAAAATGTCCCGACAAGATGACGAAGCACTCAAAGTACTTGCTTAGGCTAAGAAATAAGACAGCCACCTGACTGAAAGAGATCCATACATGTGTCCAGAAGAAAGCCCACCAGAACGCAGAAATTATAAAAAAATATTACTATTACACACAAGTAAAATCTTGCTAAAGGTAATTCAACAGTACATGTAGTAGTACATCATCAAGCTGAACCCAGAAAAGGCTGTGGCGTGATGGTTACCAATGATGTCAAGTGGATCTTGGCTGGAAGAATACCAGAAACAGGTTTATATTTTAATGACTATGCAAGGGCATGTGACTATGTGGATCATAATCAACTAGAGATCTATTATTGAGAAGAATAGGAATTTCAGAAATTCATTGTGTTCATTTAGAAACTTTATATGGATAACAGACCGTCATTTCAACAAAAACAAGGGACTATTGCATGGTCTAAAATCAGGAAAGGTAGACTTCAGAGTTGTATCCTTTCACCATACTTATTTGAAATCTGTGTGGTGAGCAAATAATTGGAAAAGCTGGACCATAGAAACAAGACTGCAGCATTAAGATTGGAGGAAGGCTTATTAACTTGAGACATGCTGTTAACTCAACCTTGCGTGCTGGAAATGAAGACTTGAAGTACTTGCTGATAAAGAACTGCAGTCTTCACTTGGGTTGCTACTCAATGTAAAGAAAACCAAAATCTTCACAACTGGAACGAGACAACATCAAGACAACAGAAAAGATTGAAGAAGTCAAGGTTTTAATTTTGCTTGGATCCAGTCAATATTCATGGAATCAGCAGTCTAGACAATAAATGCCCATTGCATCGGGCAAATCTGCTGCACAAGATCTTGTTGAAATGCTGAAGACAAGAATGTCACTTTGAGGACTAACATGGCTCCTGACCTAAACCATGGTATTTTTAATCACCTAATGGAACCTGGGTGTAGTGGGTTATGCATTGGGATGCTAATGGTAAGGTTACCAGTTTTAAACTACCAAGCTCCACAAGAGAAAACCAAGGCTTTCTACTTCTGTAAAGTTACAGTCTCAGAAACCACAGGGGCACTTCTACTCTGTCCGGTACGGTTGCTATGAGTTGGAATTGATGTTAAAGTTGGACAAAGAATAAGGAAGACCACAGATAAATTTATGCATTTAAGTTGATGACTTTGAAATATGTTGGCAAAGAACAAATTTATCTTGGAATAAGTACAACCAGAATGCTCCTACAGGCTTTGTCTCAATTACTTTGGACATGTTACCTGGAGACACCAAAATAAACCAAACTCACTGCCACTGAGTCAATGCTGACTCACAGTGACCCTGTAAGGCAGGGTAAAACACTCCATGAGTTTCTGAGACTAACTCTTTACGGAAGTAGAAACCCCGATCTTTCTCCCAAAGAGTGGCTGGTGGTTTTGAATTTCTGACCTGGCAATTAGCAACCCAAAGTGTAACGACTACACCACAGGAGACACCAGTATCTGGAAAAGAACATCATGCTAGGTAAAGGATAGGTTATTGAAAAAGAGGAAGATTCGCACGGAGATAGATGGACACAGTGGCTGCAACAATGGACTCAAACATAAGTTAAAATGATGGCACAGGACTGGGCAGTGTTTTGAAATCCTGCTGTCCACAGGATCCTATTTGTGGGAATCAACTTAATGTAACCTAACAACCACAACATTGCCTGGTTTAGGAGTAAAAAAATACTTGCTTATGTCATCATCTACAAAAATAATTTTATAAAGTTAATATAGAGTTTTATCACTCTTTAATAAGATTTTTTTAAAGGGTTAATATGACCCTTTTTAAGGTTGCATAAGTATCTATGCAACCTTAAAGTTGAGAACAGACTAAAAAACTGTACTAAGATACGGTCATAATAAGAAAAGAACACTTTTATATATAGGATTTTATTTTGCACGGCTATAACAATTCCATTATAGGTCACAGGAGGGAAAAAAAAAACCCCAAAGGATAAAACCACCACAATGAGTCAATTACTAGTTTTTCTACTTTTTAACAGGATTTCCCCTCTGGTAGACTTATTGTCATGTATCCTTCAAAAAAGACAAGATGCTTATTATATTTTAAAGATTACAGGTTGTCACCGAAAGAAAAATTTTACACAGTCACTGTACATTAGGGTTGAAAAACTGTCCTGTATTAAAAAAAAAAAAAAAAGGCATTTAGAAATCAGGTGAATGAAAGAAAAAGAAAACATTATTGTGTTTAAGAAAAGACTCATAATGTGCCATCTGAAAGTGGATATTCATTCTTCTTGGAGTTGCTTTCATTTAGGAATTCCTTGCCTCTGTCCTTTTTACTCAACAATTTTCGTTAAGGCAAACAAATCCTTTTCCAAGAGGTCTTAAGGAAATTATGGACAAATAGCAAACTTTTGGCATTAAAACAGGTCAACACATACATACCCTTTAGTAATATACATTAAGCATATTTTTCTTGGACTAGTGACAATAAAAGGTGAACATGCTCATTAACAATGTCAGAATGTTTAAAATTCAGCGTCCAAGCAATTCCTAACAATGCTTCGGTAGCTTTAAGCTCTAAACAGTGTAGAATTTATGCAAATGCATTAAAGAATTGAAGCTTGGCAAATTATACCCAAGCAGGTTATTAAACTATATATACAGAAAGTAAATGATAAATACAGAATTAAGAGTCCTTCTGCTTTTCCTTATAGCCTTGAAAATTGACAAAATTTTGAGGACAGTTCTGTAATATTAAACATTAGGTAACCACAGGTTCTGGGAAACCTAACTACACAAACTGATTTCAAATACTCACGATGACTTTGTAGTGTTTAATACAATTCAGTTTGTAGTCAAGGGCACGAGACAACATTTAACAAAAATAATCACATCAGTTGACCTAGAAATCAAATGTAAATAGATATGAATGCAATCTCCAAAATTTGTCTCTTTTAGTGAACATCAACCATTTATTCAAAGTTATACAAGAATTTGAAAGATTAAAGTCTTCTGGGACACAAAGCCATTTCCAATAGTTTCATGTCTCAGCTGAGCAGGAGGATAAAGGGTGAAAGAACAAGTGAGGAGGCCCCATGCGGGCAGTTAAGACAGTAAAATCAGACTCAGCAGCAGCCTCCTCCTGCCTGCTGTCCTCCCTGACTGCCTGCATGTGTTGCATTAGTAGCAGCATGCTGAGGGCCAATCTTAATGCCATTTGCCTGGAATAAAAGAGAAAAGGATAGTAAGTATAACTAGATCCAATTAGACAGGATAGTTTCAGTTAAAAAAAAATGAACATGACGTAATTTTGCCAAACAGCTCAGGAAATGTATCATATTAAACATATTTTGGCAATAGCCCAAAATAACAGTTCACTGGGGGTGGTTCCTTCATAAAAATGAAACAAAACCAAGCAATAAAGACGCTTACGAAAATAATCTTTTTCCTGTACATATAAAACTGCTCTAAAAAAGTCTAGTGGGTAAAAAAAAAGTTGCATTGTAAATAGAGAATGTTGTCTGAAATTGTTCAACACAATTATTTAAGTAATCTTTAAAGGATGAAAACATTCAAAGCTTAAACTGCTCTGCTGGAAAATCTTTTCTCTAAACAGCATTGCTGTTCTCTGTTGCATCAGCTGTAAGGGCTAAGGGCATATGAATGTTCTGTGTCATCAATAATGTCTATGAGCCACAAAGACATGGCAGTTTGCCAAGAACCCACACACAGAGTAGTTCTTTCATTCATCAAACTCACACTTCTGTCTTAACCCTCACTCTCTCAAGTGGATTTTAACTAAAAATACAACACTCTGAGAAACATAATGCAGTAGCTTCAGAAATTAAGCTCTTAAGGAAACTTTATGTCACAGTAAAGCTCAGATTTATAGTGCTTGGCAGTTGTTCTGCAACAGTAGTAGCCTTGGGGTTTCTGGCAGTAGCTCGGTATTGACAGCAGCTGATGTGGTTTCTTCTTACTCCTTTGACTCCTCTTTAATGAAAGGCATACCCTATGGCTCATTGCTTTGGCCCCCTTTGGGCCAGTAGCAACTGTTTGAGGAATCAAGGAGTTCGACTTGGCATTAAGCCAAATAAATAGCAGGGACGGTTGGCTCTTGATAGCAAATTCCCACCCATGCTCCCTCTATAAGGCACAGCAAAGCAGTCAGCTACTATGTGAAACCAGACAGAAACAATGAAGGTTCCTTTTGCATACAGCAGCCCAATTACAATTCCATTTATATGGCATTAGCTCCTGAATGGCATCACATTTAAGTTAGCTTCTGACTATAAACATAAAAACCAATGTGAAGGGATATAGAAATTGTACTATTTGGAAATCTTAGACAAACTATTGTTTGTTTTAGCACAGAATATTAAGGTGAATGGGAGATAGCAAAGTTTGTATAAAAGCTAAAGGGATGACGAGCAACAGCTTCCAAACAAGTTTTTTAAAATTTTTTTCCCTAACTGCAACTGAAGCCAGGATTTTCTTTCTTGAAAGCAAAGTCTTAATATAGAATGGTGAAAATATTTATGTAAAGCGCAACAATATGACACCCTCCATCTCCAAAAATAAAGCAAGCTCACTGTTGTTGAGTCGATTCTGATTCATAGCAACCCTATATAGGGTAGTGGTTCTCAACCTTCCTAATGCTGCGACCCTTTAGTACAGTTCTTCATGTTGTGGTGACTCCCCCAACCATAAAATTATTTTCGTTGCTACTTCATAACTGTAATTTTGCTACTGCTATGAATCAAGCGACTCCTGTGAAAGGGTCGTTCCACCCCCACAGGTTGACAACTGCTGCTCCAGGGCAAGGTAAAACTGTCCCTGTAGTTTTCTGAGACTAACTCTTCACAGAGTAGAAAAAAGCCTTGTCTCTCTCCGGTGGGGTACTGGCAGTTTCGAACTGCTATCCTTTTGGTTAGTAGCCCAACTCGCAGCCACTACTCACCTAAACGTTATGAAGTAAGAACAAATTCATAATGAGAATTTAGGTCAAAACAATGACCTTTGGTCATTAAATTAAATGCACACTAAATTACATGCACTAAAGCTTTACATTTTATCCTAGTCATGATGAACAAAACCAGAGCAAAATAACTTTACAAAAGTCCAATTATTGGGTATTTCCTGCTTTCACAGCAGGCAACAGAGAACACCTTGCATTGGTACGAGGGTACACACATTCATTCACACACTAGAAAATTATTCCCCCAAACAGATGACACCAGATGTATGTGTGGCTGAAAGTAGATTTTTATTCTTTCTGGGGAATTTATGTTATTGTGAATTGTTTGAAATAAATGGTCAGGGTCACTTACTTTAATTCACTTTCATATAAAAGTAACTATTATAACATATACATTTGACAACTATATACCTATACCAGGTTTTCAGTTCAGTGATTGTAGAATAAAATGTATTAACTAATGTAGATCCATTTTAGAAATAAAAAGTAAAATTATGAATCCAATAGTCAAAATGTAAATGTAAATTAATATTAGCCAATAATATGTAACATATACCTCATTATTAATGTCAAACACTCCTTCTTGAATTTTTTCATAAATTTCTTTTGCTGTATTAATAAATGCCTGAAACATAAAGGGAAAAACATTGGTTCAAATTCTTTAAAGTCATAACAGTAAAAGAACATTATATAAAAATTCTATAGACTTTGTAATCTAGTACTGTCAGCCATCTAAATTCATGAGGAAAAAGAATCACCATTATCACTAAGCTGATTCCAATGAGATGGAGGTCAGGCATATCTACTTTCCAGTCTTTTTTTAAAACCAATTTCAACACCAGCTGTCCTCGTCCCTTCTATGCTACTCTACTCTGCTGGGCTCAATAATTCATGGCAATAGTTACACATAGCTCCCATGCCATACTCATGATTACGTGGTTTTTAGGGCAGTAATAGTAACAATTCAAGAGATAGGATACAGTTATCAATCAGGACAATTTCCAAGAAGGATATGACTTGCATCTTTCTCTAAAATCTTGACTTAAAAAAGGCCTTATCTCACCCTGGCCTCTACCATTCGGTCTTGGTTGTTGCCTGGCCTCTGCTGCCAGGTTTTACTCTTGACTGAACTAGTAGACCCTGTTCTTGGCTATACTAGCCACCTTTCAACCGATAATGTTTTCAAACAAGTATTATAGGTCTTTAGTTCTACTGACACGTAGCCAGTTCTACCCCAATCTGTTGGCTGAACTCTTTTGCTGAGTGGATCAGTTATCCCACTGCAGCCACCTTGTGTCAGTCTCCTGGTTTACTGCGACCCTGTCTCGCGCCATTTCTTGTATCACAACTCTGACTTCTGGATCTAAGAGGCTCAGTCAGGAACTTCAGGTATAAAGGATGTGTCCCACTGTTCACTCTTCTTGATGGCAGTGGGGTCATCCTCATAGTCTATGGATTAACTCTTTTATAAGCCTTCTCCTCCAACCAAGACCACAAATTCAATCCCTTTAGGAGGTCATTGTCACCTATTTGCATAGTGAACTATTCAATATCTGCAAGGGTTTTAATATACCTTATTTACATAGAAATTTATCCAGCGAGACAGTTGGACTGTCCACAATCCTTTACACAATTGTGGCCTAGCAAATCATCTAGGCAGCAACATAAACCCAAGGCCAGAAAGGCCATATAAAAGGGAAAACTGTCACATTTTACAATATCTAACAATCAATTAGATCAGGAACAAGGCAAGAATGCATAGGAATGTTTGTAAGAATTGTTAGTATCATTAGTCACAACTAATAAGTAGAAACAACATAAATACCCATCATCTGTTGAATTAAAACAAAATATCATATGTAAGTACACAACACATACATGCATGAGTACACACACATCTACAATGGAATATAAGCCAGAAAAAGGATGTAGCAATTCACGCTACAATGTGGATGAAACTTTTAAATATTATGTGAATTTTAAACATTAAGTGAAAGAAGACAGACACAAAAAGGGAAATATTATATAATTTTACTTACCGTAAATACTCATGTATAAGCTGAGATTTTCAGCACATTTTTAATAAAAGTTTTTGTAGTAAAATTAGGTGCCTCGGCTGATATTCAGGTCAGCTTATACTCAAGTATATATGGGATATGAAATATTCAGAATAGGCAAGTCCATAATAGAGATAAAAATATTAGATGTTGCTAAGGGCTTCAAGGAGGATGTACAGTGAGAAAAAAACTGGGTTTCACTTTACAGTGATGATAATGTTCTGGAATTAAATACTGGCTGCATAGCTTTGTGACTATACTAAAGAACAGTAACTTGTATACTTAAAGTTAGTAAAATTCATGGAATTATATCTTAAAAGAAATATAGATGGTAGGGGTGAGAAGAGGGAGAGGAGAATATTACAACATGGAACAGCACAGGAGAAAAACATGTGTCAACTAGGTAAACTGCATAGTCTTCCATGTTGAAGCTAAATTTTGTAGGACACTTTCCATATAGGATACTTTGGGCTGTTATAATATATTACTTAATATGGTTATGTATGGAAACAATCAAAGGATGTTTATGATAAACAGCATTCCATGAAAATTCACAAAAGAATGCTAATCTTTGCAGCTGTACAGTACCAATGGTACAGACAAATTCAAAGTTTAAAAAGTAAAAGAAGTTCATGGAGAGGAACAAATCATACCTAGTCTTTTTCCACCCTAGAAATCACTTGACTGCTAAACTTGCCACAGAAGCTTTTGTTTCCTAATTAACAGGATTGATATGTTTTCACCTTTAAAGGCCTTACCACCTCCCATAGTGATCAATCTACTGCAGCTCAATTACTGTACTAAGCACACACCAGTCAGTGAAGGAGACTGCAGCAGGAGCACAAAGATATGAATATGCATAAACTCCAAGTGGCTAAACGAATCATCAGAGAGGGTCATGAGACTTTAACAGCTAAATAATGAGAAGAATGAATCATTGCAGATTCACCAGGCATTTAGGGACCAAATGTGCTTTTCATGTGTGCTGGAGTTAAGAGTAAAGCCGAAATTGGCTCTCAGCCAATTATGAATGGCTTCATGCTCCTCAAAATTGAAGTATCCCGATAAACATGGGAAAAAGTTATTATTCTAATGTCCTTAGAAACAAGGTTAACAATAAACTGACAAATTCATGGGGTGAGAATTCATTATTGGAGCACATTCATGGGCACAGTGCTCACTAGAACATTACAGTAATATAAACAACTACTTGTATTACAGAAGTTTTATTTTCTAATTTTTCTATATATATTGCTCTTTTAAATCTGCTGAAAAATAATTTTAAAAATCTGGCTAAAGAAAATGGTTATATAAAATTTCCTAAGTTACTACTAATTTTATTACATAAATGGTATTTAACACTGTATTAAGCATCTTGGAGCATGATTCTAAATGACGAATTTACGGTGTACTTTATATTTAAATTAAAAACTCACTGCCATGGAGTCGATGCTGACTCAAAGAGACCGACCTGATGGGACTGGTTAGAACGGAATCTGTGGGTGTGCTAGACTGTCAATCTTTACGAGAGTCTAAAGCCTCATCTTTCTCCTGAGGGGCTGTTGCTGGTTTTGAATTGCTCACCGTGTGGTTCAAAGTCCAACGAATGACCTCTATGGCACTTGGACTTATGGTTTATATTTGAAAGGCATGTAATAATTTTATTACAAGTAAAATAAATTAAACATATGTCCTTTCATAATTCCAATAGTCAAAACGAAATTGTTGTTGGACAGTGCTAGATTTACTTATAATTCAACCTGAGTGCACATGAAAGCCATTCAAATATTTTCTACTATAAAAATGAAATGTGGTATATGCTTCGTGACAAAATTTGTATATATAAAACTAAATATATGATAATTAAATGCAGTCTTAGAATTTAAAACTCAATATGGTAAATGGAAACATAAATATACCTGTCTGAAAAGGTGACTAGTGTTGGGCTCCCAAATGTATGGATATTAATATTGTTAGGGCTTATTAGAGATCAAAAGAAACTTCTAAAATTTATGGGTATTATGGACACTATCTAACCAGTTATGTCAGCAAGAATTTCAAGAACTCTAAAACACGAGATACATATCTATTATAATAGTTGTCCACTTCCTGCTACCCAGCAGAAACTAATGCGCACACATATTTATCAAGATAGATATGCTTTTTAATCCATCTTTAGTCTATCTGTTTATATGTATATATATATATGCACATGTATATGTACATGTATACACACATATAAAATATAAAAACACATTCTAAGTACATTCTATACACATTCTAAAATATAATCTCAATGCAGTAATACATTGTTCCCAGAATGTGTTTAATTTGAATGGCTGATCTGTTCTTTTACAAATACTTTCTCATTCATTACTTATTTGTGAATAGGTATAAAGTCGGCGCTGAAAAAAGTCTTTATTAAAAAATCAGTCACCCTTAGCAAATACTCCGAGAAGGTGGCCTACATGAAGAACACACATCAGGATGGAAGGAAGACTCATGAACAACTTGTAGTATGCCGATGATACACTTTGCTTACTGAAAGTGAAGAAAAAGCATTTACTGATGAAGGCTATGTGGCATTTGCTATGGGTTACATCTTAAAAGGAAACATATATCCTCAAAATTGGATTATTAGGCTGTATTGTGATAAATGCATAAAATATTGAAGCTGTCAAGGATTTCAATTTACTTAGAGCAATAGTTAATATCCATGGAAGCAGCGGTCATAATACCAAAAAACATCGTGGGCAAATCTGCTGCACAAGATCTCTTAAAATGCTCAAAAACAAAGGTGTCACTCTCAGGAGTAAAGTGTGCCTGCCCTAAGGTACAGAATTTTCAATGGCTTTAATATACATGTGAACACTGGACAATGAAAAGGAAGACAATAGAAAACAATGTTTTTGAATTATGGCAAAGAATATGCAATGTACTGTGCACTACCAGAAGAATGAACAAATCTATTTTGGAAAACGTACAGGCAGATGGAACTGGGAAATGAAAATGGTGAGACTTTGTCTCAAATATTTTGGACATGCTCCTGGGGACATAATTTAAGCCAAGTTGATTATTTTACATAAACATGGTTAGATTTTTATTTTAAGCATTTATATGACAGTAAAAAATTCAATATATCAGCAAGTATCAACTCTGTGATAAATATCACGGGAAAAAATTTACAAACTGACAATACTGGATGAACTAGATAAATACTTTATACTAAAATTCATGCTTCTTGTATCAACACATACACAAAAGGCATTCTGCAATATACAACGCCCATTCCTGACAGAAACAGGATTTTTTGGTATATGAAGCCCAGGAGTGATGAACCTATGGGGACAGCAAGTAGAATTAAGAGTCTGAGGGGTGGGGGGTGGGGGGGGTGTACACTGGTAGTAGTGGCTAAAAGGGAGATGATATCAAGGAGTCCAGGAAGGAAAAAACTGTTTGGAAACTGATTGTGGTAGTCATTGTACAATACTGGCTTGATGTGCATGAACTATGGAATTATATATGTATTAACTCCCAATTAATAACAAATTAAAAAAATAATAAAGAT